GGGGGGCGGAATCAAAGTTGCAGTGTTGGAAAAGTTGTGTTTGACAGCACAGAGGGAAACGGAGAGAGTTTGATAATAAATGGAATATGAAAGTGATGTCTCATAAAAAAACTTGCACTGTATTGAGCTTGGAAGCAAATTTTTTTTGTGAAAAAAAATAATCAAATGAACAAAAAACATTGAGCTGCAGGTAAAGTTAAGTCCCTTTAAGGTCCTGGGGTTGTGTGCGGGCTTTTGAATGGCTAGTTTCCTGGAATAATTTTTTCTTTCAAACCTGCAGGGATATTCTAGTCATTTTGTAACAAAAACTTAAATACAGGACTGCAATAGAAAAATCTCTGTCTTGTTTATCAAGGTTGAAACACCAGTGATCTGCGTTGCTCAGACGCATGCTAAAAGCTCTTGACTGCTCTATTTCATGCCGACACCTCAGCTGTTACGCAACAGTGCTTGTCCTTAAGAGTGGCAAGGTGCTTTGTTGTTTACCAAGTGGCGCGAGTGAGCAGAAAACTCGCTATAATGTTTGTTTTTCAGGCAAGTGCCGTAACTCTGTTCTGCACTGTCCCCAACATGATTTGCAATGTCTTCTGTATCAGTGCTTTAAGAACAAACGTGTTATTTACCGTCACCTCTATGGTGACGTGTTGCAGTAGCACCCAAGAGCTGCAACTGCTGAGCCAAAGCCCAGCTGCTGTGCACTGACATGGAGAGAGTTCACTTCCTAGCCGACGGCATGATCCCAAACCAGCCCTCTCAAAGAAGGTGACAGGAAGGATTGCTGGGTTGGAGCACTGGGCCCAGGCTCGATGCAGTTTTAAGCAGCCGCTCAGTGCAAAACCCGTAGTTGGCAGTACGTGTGCTTTGACTGCGTCATACAGTGACTCTCTGCTTACTGGTTTTAAACCTCAACCAGACAAACCCGTTCTGTATTGTCACATTTTGATGGGTTGGTTATGTGTGAGGACCAGCTTTAGCTCACACTTTATGCAAAGTCTGTGCCCTTCTCCTCCAGAAGCACACGGCTCCCTGCGAGACTGACGAGAGAACACTCACATTCTGAACCTGCGTCTTTTTATTTCGCTTCTGGTTCAGCCCTTGTCGACAGCAACCACTAGAGGAGGGCGTGATTACAGATGTGACTGAGTCGCTTAATGTGACATTTCTAATAAATGCCATACCCAGTGACAGGACAGACGATGCTTAAACTATTAGGCTGTGTGAAGGCGCCCCTTAATTCCTGCTTTCACATTGTCACAACTGCTCGCTCTGTACATTTGAAGAGTAAGTGAAAACACCAAAACTGAGTTAGAGTTAACTCAGTGCCATAACCACGTGAGGTGTCTTTAACAGCAGGCATTGCTTGGGGAGCATCAGTAGAGTATTACATCATACCTTTGTTCTGAGGTAAGTAGTTGGGTGCATACGTGTACACACATGCGCACCTTTATTTTATTTAGTTATATATGTAATATATAACTAAATGTGAATGGAGATGTGCAGGCAGCAGCACTGATTTGGGGTTAATTTTCAGGATTCTGCAGCGCTTATTTTTTGTAAATAAAACATCAGAATTCGTTGTAGTTACTTAGTTGCCATTGCATTTGTATAACATAATGTTTGTATCTTCTTTTTTTCTTTCTCTCTTTTCTAGATATTTCAAGGGAACACTGAATTGTACCAGGAAGTTCGCAATAATTTCATTCCACCTATTATTGCACGCTTTTTTAGGATTAACCCCTTAAAATGGCACCAGAAAATTGCAATGAAAGTAGAATTGCTAGGATGTCAGTTTAGTATAGGTAAGGCAACTGAAAACCTTTCAACTGTGCAAGACAAGCAGTGAAATAATTTGGCAAAGATTACATTGTGGGTATATTTTCAATGAGAAAAAAGTACTTCTTGGCTGCATAATCCTTCTGTAACTGATACTTCTGAATCTCTTCCAAAGTTAAGAAACCTGGAAAATACCTAGTTTAGGTGTAAATGAGGCAATTTAGAAAGTGTGTGTTTCAAAAGACACCAGTCACTTGCTTTCCATGTTACTGATTCATGGGGGCTTCTTCCTCATTTCATATAACGTGAACAAAAGCTTTAGAGCAAACTGTTCCAGCTCTCTTCTCCTGAAAAGGAAACACGGAAACCTAACATTTTAAAAAAAAACTTTTTTAATACATTCTTTTCTTCTTAAGGCCGTGCTCCTAAAATCACCGTGCCACCACCACCTCAGAACAAGAACGATGACAAGAATGTTGACTTCAGTGATGACTTCATTCATTCAGTGAAGACTTCGTTGCAGACAGATAAAACGACTTTCACACCTGAAATAAAAAACACCACAGTGACTCCAAGTGTAACCAAAGGTATCCACAGTTAAGCAGTCTAAGTGTCTGGGAACTCCTTACAGTACTTTGGCATATATGAAGTGTGCTTTCTGAATTTACATTTTCTCAACACTTAATATAGTATAGCAAATTAGCAACTTTTTAGTATTTACCAGTGATTAAATATATGTATGATAAAAAACGTACAATTGCATACTGCATGCAGAAACAAAACTAACCTTCCAAGTTGTATATATATATTAAGTTCTGTCTTTCAAAACTTGGTCAAACTGAGTTTGGCTTTAAATTACTGAATAAATTTTGTCAGAAGTTGCAACTTGGCCTTCCCTTCAGAATTAATCAGATGTAACTGCTTTGTTATTTAATTTGATAATTTCCTAGGAGAAAACACTTTTGACATAGCTAATCTTTTATGGAGCAGTCACATTGGCATGAAATTTGGAAAACATCATCTGGCATCATCATTTTGTTTAGCAAAGCAAATTGTCAGAGAAGGGAGGAAGATCACTGCAGCTGTAGGCATCAGTGCAGTGTCCTTTGGGTAGCAGAGAACAGGATGGTCTCATCCTGTTAAGGTACTGCGGTATTTACTTCTTATAGAGGTTCGGACTTAAGGGGTTGCGTATTCTTGGGCTCTTTTGATTTTCCTTGTTAATAATAAAATACATTGTTCTAACAGAAAAGAATCTTACTTATATTAAAACAAATCTTGATGAAAAAATCTTGAAAAAATACCAGCTGTGCATGCGTGTAGAAGAGCTAGGTGTTAGCTGACATTTACACTGTGGGAGCAGCCAGCAGGGTAGCTTAACTGGGGGATCTGGTGTGATAGACACTATACCTGAAAACTGTGTGCTTTACCCAAGTCATTTTCAAAATAAAAACTGATTTATGAGAAGCTCTTCTGTCTGACACCACTTAATTTAATGGCTTTCAGATGTGGCATTGGCAGCAGTTCTGGTTCCAGTGCTGGTGATGGTCTTCACTACTCTGATTCTTATCTTAGTTTGTGCGTGGCATTGGAGAAACCGGTAAATGAACAGATTAACGGAAGTGCTTTAAATGAATGTTAGCCTGGTGTGTGGGAATGAAATGCTGCATGTATCGCTGTGGGAAGTATGCGGTCCACACTTGTGGAAGGATTTTTCTTCAGCATGGTATTATCTGTGAGAAAAAACGTTCACTTGAATAGCGAGGACAGAGAAAACAACTTTTTTGTAACTATTTTCATTAGAAGTGCTTTTACTGAAGACTGGTTTCTCCAGTAGCAGCAGACTGGCGATGGCAAGCCAGGTTACTGGTGCTCAGACATTCAATTTGAGGACCAGTTACAGCCAAGGCGATAGTTGCTGAGCATTAATTAATGCATCTTCTGATAAGCAGACTAGCTAAAATAGCCTCTCTTTTTCTTTTTCCACAGCAAGAAAAAAACTGAGGGCACTTATGATCTACCTTACTGGGATCGTGCAGGTAACAAAATGGTTTTATGAAATCCTTTACTTGGCCTTTTTGGTTTGATGCGCGTTTCAGATTGCATAACAGACACTTTCTACTAGCAGAAGCTTCTCTAATGCTAACTGATGTAGGCGTAGTGAACACTGAATTTCTCTTCTGGATGGACTTAACTGCTTCAGTCTCTGAATTTGTTTTCAGAAAGAGAAAATGCCTCGTCTCCTGTTACAGCTTACAGCGTCAGGTTATTGGTGTTTTTTTGTTTTTTTTTTTTTTAGTAAACAACCTCTTAATTATACAACATGAGGGGAAAAAATAATTTATGAGGAATGTCTTTATACATTTGATAATCATATATTTGGTACTTTTTTCGTCCTGGAAAAAACCTTTCATCTTAGTGTGTAAGGTCTGTCTAATTTTGTCTGTCTTCATTGCCCTGGTAAGCATGTGGGATTGTTTGCGGCCCCTTAGAGGCACTTTTTCCATCCTACTGTCTTGTTCCCCATTAACTTGAGATCAGACAATTCCACGAAGCAGCAATTAGCGAGCGTCCTGAAAATGCCCGTGCTACAGCATAAAGGGCTGCTGCAGCTGTTGGGTTGGTACTGGCTCTACGACCGTGCTTCACTTCTCTGACCTCATGTTGAAAATGTCCACATCTGTGTGTTTGCTCACTGGCAGTTTTAAGTACGCCTTGTCCTTTAGACAAGAAACCTTTTAATGACCTTATTTTTATTTATTACATGTCTGTTTCTGATAGGTCACAGCATTGTTTATTAGCATATATTAGAATTCTGTTAGTCTCAAAATACCCTGTATTTAAATGTCAATGATGGACATGCCAGATTTTTCTTCCTGTTTGCTTAAATTTAACTGTTCTGTATGTGGGTCTGTTTCACAAGGAAATTTGGCAAAGTGCAATATCAAAATAATAGTGCTAGGCTTCTCTGTGGAACCTCTGGCTGTCCCCTACCACAGGCTACCTCAAATTTTGTTAAACAGTCTTCTGTGGTTTTTGAATCTCCGGGCTTTTGGGCTTTACCTGCAGGATGGTCTCTTGCAGCTGGAATGAAATACGTTAATAGAGAGCAAAACTAGAATGGCTCTGGCTCATGACCACCATCACTCCTTTTCATTTCCATTGAAGTTAAAAATCTTTATTCAGATTTTTGCAAATATTCACTGATCAACCTTTTTCAACAATGTGAGTTGGAAACATGACACTGACAGTCAGAAAGCACGTTAATTAAATGTAGTGTTAGGTTGTCTAAAATTTTGGAGGTAGAGATTGTCTAAACTTCTGTATAAATACTTGATTTACAAATTGGAATCATGGCTGGCTTTTTTTCTGTGTAGTATTTTGTGAGTTTATTAATGTGATGAGTAGCCCCAGCAAGGCTGCTAATGAGCATTTGGGGATGGATTCCCTAGACTGCAGCTGTTCTGCAGGTGTTTGAAGGGGCAGCGTTCAGGCAAGTCGATTGGGTGGGAGTAACATTGTCACCTCTGAATCTTCAGTCTGCTAGAAAATGTTAAAATACCTTGTAATGTTAGGGTCATGCAAATACTGATGACTGAGTTGTCTGCCTGCTACTACAAAATATAAGCTGTGGTGTAAAAATATTTTAGTAGCATAAAACGTGTTTATTTTTTTTTTAAATCCATGTGAAGGATGGTGGAAAGGAATGAAGCAGTTTTTCCCGACCAAATCAGCAGAACATGAAGAAACTCCC